TCATCAATAGAGAATACTTTGCGCACCGAGTTCGGAACCAGTCGGTGCCAACTTGAGCATTGTTCCAGTTCAGGTGCTAATTTGATCGCTGGCACGGTGTAATGCCGTTTTTGGTGAAAGAAAAAATGCCACGGGTGTCGTACGTGCGCTGAAGAAGGAAGCCTGTAGGACACAGGGTGGTTCGCTTGTAGCTCCATTATCGCCGAAACAATGGTTTATCTATTGCCGGGTGTGTGAAGCTGTCCACGCGGGTTGCGTAGTCATTAAACATCTGGCCGAGGCAGACCATAAACAAGACAAGGTGTCCGACGGTGGAATAGAAGTGACCTTTTACCCCCCCCCACGCTTGTACCGGGAAGTGCAATCTTCTGAAGATACCATTCGTGGACGGTGTCCTGGATGAGAAGGGGAGACGACAGCGCTATGGGTGTTTGCAGAAAGGAGGAGTGCGGGTGGATAAGAGAGCATGGCTGAACCACAAAAACCATAAAAAGCATGGTTTTGGAGTTTCTAATTTTGTCATTTTTAGGGTTTTGGGGGTTTCGCGATATTTTTCTCGTTTTCTGTATACCGTAAAAAGAAATAAGAAAAATACGTGGAACGGAACGTGACCACTAGCCGCAAAAATAAAAAGGTGGCTAGCAGTCAAAACGGACTGGTCGGCGGACTTCGCGACCACGACCGTCGCGTTTGACTAGTATAGGGGTTAGCATCGGAGTAGTACTTGAGCTCTGCGATGGACCCGCAGGAAGAGGCGGGGGGCGCGGAACTGGATCGCTGGGTGGAAAGGGAGAAATTTGCTCAACATTGCTCTCAAGAAAAGCTGGCTTGAGGCGATCTAAGCAAACCGTTTCTTTCCTACCGTTATTGTCAATGACAGCGGTCTTTTAGTGACCATATGGTTGCTGATATTCGTCAGAACCTGTCACTAATGTTTACTCACGTCCGTTTTGAATATTCGTCCCAAAAGGAAACAGAACCGGAGATTGCGTTTATTGAAAACAATATATTCTGAGATCTTCAGAAAGGTTGGAAGTAGATTTGGCTAGGCCTAGGCTGATATTTAAGCAACGGCAGCGGAAACCTGAAAGTAGATCTGATCAATGCAACGAAAGCGCGCGATACAGAGCTCACCGTAGGGAATTGTGTCCGTGCACGCTTTTTGAGTTCATTAAAAGAACGCTAATAGTTGATGTAAAACCTAATCCTGGAAATGTCCAAGTTGCTTTATCCAATAGAGGAACTTTCCTCAGAGTATAGCTATCGCCAACTAATGGCGATGACTGCTAAATCTCGACGGTACACTTGATTGTGTCCGGTGGATAAGGGTCCTTAAAGGAAGAAGGGAAAAATCTGAAAGTAGTTCAGCTACCTGATCGATAAACTAAGTCGCTACTTGATTTCTGAACCTTATTGGTTCTGATAGGCACTTCATGGATATGTACCATGCCTTGATAGTCCTCAATTATATATGACTGGTTAGAAACTGAACGTATCCTGCTGTTGGTCACCAGCGTAGGGTGAATGTACTTCTGTTACGTGATTTGATGATCATGTCCAGCTTAAATGGATCTATCAAGAAGCTTAAAGAAAAACGAGATAAGAAGAGAAAACTGCCGTTGCGAAACTGTCGGTTGAAGAACCGCTACAGTCTTATCGTTACGGGTTATCACCCGATGGGGACCGGTGTACGGCGATTGTGGTGGTGTCCCTTGATATCAACGCGAAGGAAAACGTATGTGCACCACGAAAGTTCACTGGGAACGTATGCGGGATCGTGCTGCTGACGCGTGTTGACAGCGTAAACCTTCCGTATATGATGGTTAAGACGATATGCGGAATCAGCTTAGTTGAAGTTGCGCAGCGCGGTTGGCGCGACGAGTTTCCCTGGAAGTCGTAGTGTCCGGCCGAAAGCCCGTGTAGTGTGCAAGTGGGCACGGGGCATCCGTAAGTAGCGACCCAACGCTGGAGAAACGCCTTGGCAATGGCTTCGGCGGA